CAGGAAAGTTAAAGTGTTCTCATGATGGATTATTTCTGGCAGTCTTTAAAGGCCCTTACTTACCAAATTCTGATTTATACATTGTCAGAGCCCTGTGGAATAATAGAAAAGAGGGGGACAGGGCAGAGCTGACATGAAGAATCTGTGATCTTTCAGATGTTGTTTGGCAGTGCTGGCTAGGACATCAGTTCCACCGTATCTGAAAGGTATGAGGGTATATCAGGAAACTTTCTCACATTTTGACCTCTGAAAGCCATTCCAGCCTTTTCTGGCTGGTTTTTATTTCTCTCTGCCTCTCGCCAAGAACAAAGTGAAGAAACCTGGGCCAAATCCAAAGATATTTATGTGATTAAAAACAAGTGCCACTCATCTGTGTTTCTGCACTTAGATACTCCAAGAGGCAAATAGACCAACCTTCTAGAATAAGCATAGGGCCCCAACTGTCAAATGCCCTGGGGTTGCAGTGCTGAAGAGAAGCATGCTCTGGCCTCATCCATCAGCCAAGAGAACAAGAGGTGCTGGGAGGTTTCATCCCCTGCCACCCTGAAAAGACTTTATGACAAATGGGAAACAAGTCTCATCCTTCTCTGGGTCAAAGATAGAGCTACTATTAGGAGCTTTATTCCACCTTCCCTGCCAGAAAGAACATTGAGGTCCAACTGTAAATGCACCCACACTGCAGTTATAAACCACCTTGATTCCTGTACCAGGAGAAAGTTGGCATGTTCCCATACTGAGAGAAAATTGTGTGAGGTCCTTGCTGGTCCATTATTCTTCCCAATGGTGTTTCTCAAGTGTTGTAATAATGAATATTCTTTCCATCCCTGTACTTGCAATGTTTAAGCCATTTTGGAAGGCCCAACTGCGTCTGCGCCGTGCAAATTTGGTGGTTGTTGTGCACATGAATGCATGCGGGGCAAGCGCACATGCGCACGCCCAGCCCCCGCGCCATTCCCCCCCCCAGCCCCCTGGCAACAAAGGTTGCCGACCCTTGGCTTAAACATTGCAAGTACAGGGGTGGAAAACTGTCACTTATAAACACAACAAACTCCAGCTCCCATGTTCCC